GACACGCCCGTGGCGTTCAGTATCGACGCGCCCATGATCGTGCGGGAGGCCTCGGTGCCGCTGCGTACGAAGGGCCCTGGTACATACGCTCCAGGACTCCGTTAGCGAGTTGAGCTTGAGGTCCCTGGGGGGCTTTACTGCTGCCCATGATCGTTAGCTGGCCGAGTCGAAGTTGCAAGCTAGCTCACGTTCGGGGCATGAGCATCGCGTCCTGTGCCGAGCGCTCACCTTCGCGATGGAGTCGGATGGGCTCAACATCGCCAACTTGTCTTGCTGCGAGTTCCCGAACCGCCGCAGGATGCTGATTGAGGCTGCGCATCGTGACGACCCGGAGCGACCTGCGTTCGAGGGGTCGCACATCTACATGGGCGAGAAGGAGGAGGAGGAGGAGGAGGAGGGCGCAGGCGTGACAGTGACGCCCGCCCTCCGGGCGCATGCTGCTTCGGAGATGGCGAAGGAGGCGGCTATCGAGAAGGTGAAGCGGAAGGCCCGTGATGCCAAGGCGGAAGCGAAGGCGGCGGCGGCCCCTTGCAAGGCCCCGTCGCCGGCAAAATGACCGCTGGGGCCCAGGGAGGGGGGATGGGCTTGACCCGCTCTGGCGACCCCCCTCCCCGCGCCAAGACTAGCCAGAACAGCAGGGACCGATGGCGGTGGGGTGATGCGCAGCGCCGTGCTGCTCCTCCGCCTGATCACGCTGGGCCTCGACCTCTCGGGCAGCCTGGCGAACATTTTCCGCTGCCCTGCGTCGGGGTGGAGGTCTCGGCGCGCCGGCTCGTCCAGGGCGGCTCGGCGCCGCAGCACATGCCGCCGGCTGGCCCTAGACGATGCAAATGACATGGTGGCCGCGCTCATCGCCCTCTACGGCTGCGAGCGCGACGCGGTGGGGCCGGCGAGCCCAGCGCAGCGTTCGGTGCATCGACGCTTGCTGCGCGCCGCCAGGGAGGCCTGGCAGAATTTTGATTTGCTCCTACCCCATGAAGCTGCGGCTCAGCATCTGGGACCCCGTATAGATTATGGAGGAGACGGCTCTACAGTTGAACCATGTGATGCTGCTCGGCTGTCTCTTCCTCCCACTGGGCGTGGCCCTGTGGACCTTGCGAAGGTGCTGGGCGATGACGCTCGGCAGGTGCTTATTTACTTCGTCAACATCCTCGCGAGCCTGGGCGTCGTGGCCAAGCCTAGGGGGGGCGCGCCTTCTCGCCCCTTATCTCGACGTCAACTTACGGGCTGACAAGAAGGCTTACGTGGATTTTCTTCGGCGCCTGATGGATGGGCGTCTACTCGGAGTGGTGTCGGAGATGCGATGTCATTGTATTTTCCGTGTCAAAGAAGAACGGACGACAGAGACTTGTTCTAGATTGTCGGCTTGCCAACGCTCTCTTCACTTACGTTCCTACGGTGGAGATCGGAAGTCCTACGGCCATGAGCGCCATCGAACCGGAGCCTGGGTGGGAGCTCTTCCCAGCCTCGGCCGACGTCGAGGCTCGCTTCTACCAGTGCGGCGGCGTCGGCCAGTTGAGCAACTACTTCTGCTTGCCGTCGGTGTTCGAGGAGGTGGCGATCGAGCTCAACGGCCAGGGCATTGCTGGACGCGGGCGTGTCTACCCGTGCTTGGTGGTGCTCTCGATGGGCTGGGGCTGGAGCTTCTGGCTGGTGCAGCGCGCCCACCTGGAGATGCTGCGCCGGGCGGCGGTGCCAGACGACAAGGTTGCCCTCGGGGCCTGGCGCTGCCGTCCTTGGAATCCGGCCCAGTGGAGCTGCCCTACTCGGACAACATCAACGTGTTGGGGGGTGAAGGCGAGCGAGGTGACCGAGCTGCGTGATCGTATCGTGGGCCGCTTCGCCTACGAGGGCTTCAGCATACGCGAGGTCTCGGACACCTACCCGCAGTCGACTATCCTGGGAGCTGATGTTGGCGGACACCCGCCTGTCGCGCGGCGCTCGGGCCGGAAGCTGTGGATCTCTGGAGGTGCTCTTCAATGGCTGGCTGGCGGCCCATCGCCAAGAGGCCAGCTGCCTGCAGACGGCCTGCGGCGAGCGCCGCCCGCCCTTCAGTGCGGGCGCGGCCTGCGGCGAGCTGCGTGGCGGCGCCGCCCCAGCTGCGCGCGCGGCTGGCGCGCGCATTGGGACCGGGCCGCAGCAGCCCGGCCAGCCTCGTCCGAGGTGCTCTCCAGGTGCGAGCAGGCCTCGGCGGCCGCCGGGACATGCGTCGGCTACAGGGCTACAGGGCGTACTCCGATGCGTTCCAGGCGCTCTTGCGGGAGGTCGGCGAGGAGCCGACGACGGTCGAGGACATGGAGGTCCGCGTGCTTCAGTTTCTCGAACTGATGCTGGAGGCGGAGTGCACGAGGGCCGACGCGACCATCCTGGTCGCCGCGGTGAAGGACGCCTACCCCTGGTGCGCGGGCTCGCAGTCGATGCCTCGCGTCATCCGCGGGCTGCGCGGCTGCGCCGGGCGCAGGCCCCCAGCGTCCCGCGCGCCCGCGCCTCGGGAGCTCCT